TCAGTATCTTTTGTGTGACCTGTTCTATTAACATATAGACTAGCTTTCCTTATCTTCAAAAATTTATTTCTTCCTTCCCTAATTTTATACTAAAACGTTGTTGCTAGTTAAAGCTTTTGGAAATGTACAGTTTAGTTCATGTCATTCTCATCTGTCTGTAGCCTAAACCCTTACATTTAAAGTCATTCATCATAGTTTCATTCTTTTTTTCAATCCTTTTTATTCTGGGTAAATTTAAATATTTTTTATTTTTCATGAGTGTGATAAGTAGATTAGAAATGGTTAGTATGTAATATGGTATTTATATACATTTTGATTTTTAGACTTCTCAGTTTCTTGATCACCTTTCTATAGGAAAGAGCTCATACATCAAGATCCATCTAAAAATGTGGATCCGAAAATTAATGCAGATATGCTGTAAGCTCTTTGCAGTTGTGATTGGGAAACTAAAATTAGCATTGGTTTATGTGTTCTGTTGTGTTTCATCATATTGTTGAGTCATGTTGAGTTTATCAAATGTCATCCCATCTAATGGGTTATTTTTTAACTTTAATGAAATGTAGGAATTTGTATTTATTGCTGAGAAATTGCATCTTTAAAAATTTTTGTCCAGATTGTCCATACTGTTGGGATTATCTATATGCTGATCATACCATTTGTGATTTCCTGCAAGTACCTAGTAGAAGTAGTGATTTTGTGGGAAGTATAAATGCAATAGTTCGGTAGTTTTTGCATCTTTTTAATTTCATACAGTTCTGTTTCTTTTATTCAAGTTGAATGTAGTAATTATTAATAGGGAAAAGGGACACTTTTCCTTTGACTAAGCTACATGCAGAAGGCCTATTTGGGGGGAGGTGATAGAATGAAAAGTATAAAAGGAATCATCAGCAAGATGTAGTGAATAAAGAGAAGATCATTGGAAAAAACTATGATGATGCCAAAAATCTGATTTAAAATGATTTGCAAAATATAGTAAATCTGGACATGTTAATATAAGGTAGATAGTTGTGAAATAGCTAAGAAATTCTGCTTTTAATGAAAATTGCCTTTTAGCCTTTGGATCTAGGTTTTAAAACAAATTTTTAAAAAATATTTTTCTTTGACGTAAAAACCCATTTAATTCCATGAAATGTGTTAATTTTCTTCCTAAAACCTTATGTATTAGATGTTGTATTAAATTTGAACTGTATGATTATATTAGTAGGAAGTGCTATAACAGGATCTTTCTCCCAAACTTGATGTGTGCCTGTTAAATGCTACATGTCAGTGCAAACTGTGGAGCAAATGTACAAACATATTCTATCTGACATGCATGAGTGACATTGCAATCATGAAAATCTTACTTAGTGGTTATATACACTCCTCTTAATATTCACACATTACTATATAATTGCTTTGTTTTCTTACAGAATCGCTTTCCAAAATTTAAAGCTTCATAGTTAAGTCACAAAATTTAGTGCATTGTTTCCTTTTTGTCATAAATAAGCTCTTCTGTAACATAGGGCGAATTAATTTTTATTAACCACTTCAGGATTAGATGGATTTGGAGAATTTTTGTAGGATTCATAAAAAATAACTAACTTGTATAACTACATATCCGTTATTGAATAACAGAAGTTAACTCCTTGTATTTCATAAATAAAAAGAATTAAATACTTAAGTTGAAAGATGAAAAGCTAATGGAAATGCTTGTAAATAAGATAAAGTCAGCATAAAGTAATAATACCAAAAATCCCAAATTTTTTGTTTGTTATTTTATTAATTTAATTTAAGTCTAATTTTCTATACTTCTCTTTAGAAAATATGTTGTGTTCATTGATTTGGGTCAATTAGAAGATTTAGGTTGTTAGCACATGCTGATGTGATTACTTCTAGATTTGTCACTCTAAACCATCAACCAGGACTCATGTTCCCTTTTACTCTGGGAACTAGTTCTGCTGTATTAGAAATCAAGCTTAGGTTCTTAACTGAACTCATTTCTTTATTCTTTTGTTACCATATAAAAGTTTATGTTACTGTTTAGAAAAATGAAACAGAGTCCAAACTCTAGAAGAATTCAATTTTTATATTCTCGTATCCCAGAAATATCCTTAATGAATGTGTTTTTTTATTGGATTCTTTTTCCTATACACCTATTTTTGCTCTTAAGATTGTATTTTTTTAAGTGTGCTTTTTGACTTCAGCCTTTATTTTCATTTTAGTGACATTTTAAAATTAAGTTCTGATTCCCCCACAACTAGGCATTAGTAGTATAGTATGCTTTGTGTTAAATTAGTGGTGGACTTTCCTACCTAAATTTTATTTCAGAATCTATTGTCTTACCTATAGTTCATCATTCTTCATGCCCATTGTCTATGTAAATATTTTTTGGAATGTCATGTATAGAATTTGACATTTCAGTATTTATATTTCTATTATCCTGTCATTGGCTATAAAAATTATCTTGCTGATTTCTTCACTTCTTAAAGGTTTTCCTTAAAAGTTCCCTGAATAAGGTCTACCTTGAAGACTCAGCCTAATATGCAATACACTCCCCATAAGCCTCTTATTTTTTTTCTTCCTGTAACTCTTATCACATTCTAACATACACCATAGTATTATACTTCTTATCTTTCTGGATTTTTTTAGAATAAGCTTCACAAGGTTAGAGATCCTGTTTGTTTTACTCATTTGTCCCAAGCACCTAGAACAGGCCTTGGTGTGTATAGAAATGATAAATTATTGGTAAATATTTAACAGAAGCATGGATTGAGAATATGTTGAATTCTTTTTCTCCTACTATAGAGGATAAGAATTAGCATGCACTAGACCAGTGGTTTTTGGCTTCACTGTGAAGAAATACACTTTAAAATGCAATCTAGTATATGCATAAAAACGCATTTTGTGTGTGTCTGTATGCATTTATGTAGATGAAATGTGTACCGTGCCTTAATATTTCCTATTTTATTTCACTTTTTAAAAATGAATACTATCAAGAAATATGTACAGGTACATATTCCCTATGATGAATGTGATCATTATATACCAAAAGTGTAAGAATAAAATTAATTTTTAAAATATAAAAAATGAATGAGGTCCAGGGATTTAGCTCAGTGGTTCCGCTGCCTGCCTCACGAGTGGAAGGACCTGAGTTCAATCCCCAGTACCAAAAAAAAAAAAAGAATGATATTGCATAGTGAGGTGACTATAGATAACAGTAATGTACTCTACATTTTAAAAGAAAGGATTTTGAAAGTTTTCACTGCAAAGAAATGGTAATTGCTTGAGGAGAAAGGAATGTTTAACCTACTTAAACATTGCACCATGTATATATGTATCAAAATACCATATTACCCCTTTAGTATGTACATATTAATGTTTTATGTATCAGTTAAAATTAATTTTAAAAAAGAATACTGTTTGCAATCTATTTTTTTTCACGACCCACCAAAGAGTTATAGACTTTAGTTTGCAGTAGGCAACAGATAAACCTAAAATAATAATTATGTAAACATAGAACCTAGTTTTCTTTTGTCATAGTGACTGTTAGGATGTTTTAATTTCAGATTAATTTTTGGAGCTAGTTGTAACATTTTATTTTCTACAGCTGTTAGCTCCTGATATGTAAAACTAATACAAGAACTGTGGATATATAACTAAATAAAAATAAAATCTGTAATATGTGCAATTTTACCAACTGTGTATATTTGTTAACTTTGAGTTCATGTCTTCTTGAAGGAGGAAGAGCTCCTTCTTGACATGGGAGCAAATAAGAGAGGGACTGCGCTGAGTTAAAGGCAGCCTAGGATTTATTTTGAAATCTAAATAAAATCCAAGACCAAGTAGATTGGGAACAGATTGTTAGAAATCTGAATTATTTTTTTCTCCCAGCTGTTATAAGACTTAATAGGGCAGGAATTATGCATATATTCGGTTAACTAGAATGTGAAGATACCTCCCATGGAAAATGTAATGCGAAGACTCCTTCAGTGGTTGGTTGATTAGCATTGTAGCCATGTAATATTTTGTACTAAAACCTGAAGACATAGGAAATAGCTTCTTCCTGTTTGACATAAAAAAATATGATGATTCTGTAGTTTTCAAGTTTGTACATTTTGAGGAAGCTCTTTTTAGCTTAATGTCAGCAAAGCAGCTGCTGCTTAAATTTACTTTGTAAAACACTGAATTATTCATTTCCATAAACAAAACTTCCTTAGTAATTATTTAGCATTAATTTATTTCTCTTTATTTCAATCAACCCTGATGATATTCTGTTTTTAAATTAAAAATATTCTTTGTGGAATCTAACAAATAAGACTCTGATAGCAACGTTCTCTACTTTCTTCCACTCTTATATAACAAAAGATTTTAGGATCCTGAGATGAACATGTTTCATTGTTTATTTTTATTATTTCAATAAAAGTTACTAATAAAATATAGAACAAAAGTAAAATACTTATCTAGAAGTATCTTCTAAGTAGCTTCTTAAGACCAGTGTGATTTTTGACTCATTAAGATTTTACCATAGTGCTTCATGCTTGAGTATATTTAACAGCTATTATCTTGAATTCTGGTTATGCAAACTTATTGGAAAGGCTTTAAATAATTATTTATCATTCATATCTATAAATTTGTTTAATAGACTATTTAGCAGGGAAAGGAGGTAAAAATTGTTGCATATTTCTTGTAAGTTTACCATGCAACTTTGCAAATGTGAGAATAACCCCTTGAATTTTGTGCCGCCTTTCTAGTATGCTATGGGAAACCTTTACACCTTCAGATTTTCATTGTTAATTATTGCTTGTGGCTTCCTCTGAGCAATCAATGTTTTACATCTGTGTGGTATTTATTGTCATTTCTACAATTGACAGAGCATGTTTTAAAATTTTTGTTTCTATGCCATTGCTTTGCTGCTTCATTGGAGACTTTTTTGTCTGTTAGCTTTATAAATACTATTTGGTAATGTAATAAAGGGGGGGAACCTTTGTATAATAGCATTCATTCAAGTGAAACATTTTTACCTCGTTAGTTATGGGCCCATTCTGAAAGGAAGTAAATGTACCATATCCACAGTGACTGAAGTGGCTTCACAGGACTCTGGAAGAGGATGGGGCCTGTGGAATCAGAGATTGAGGAGTTAGAGATGGAAGAACACTATGCAATTCCTCTCCTCCTAGGTTCTATGATGCTATTTGGATGATTTATGGAGACCTTTGCTTGAATTGTTATTGAATGAATAATAGCAATTTTTGAAGGAATAACCACACACAAGTAATTATTAAAGCTGAAATATTCAGAAAGCCCTTCATTCAAATGACAAAAACGTCAGCCTTTAGGCAAGAGCCATTATGTGAATATATTTTGTTTTTTTCTTTAGACAGTGTTTTAGAAAATAAAATGAGCTATTTAAAACGTGTACGGTTTTACATAAAACAAATTTCAGAATTAAAACAACATAATCCTCAGATTTGGGATATTGTGTTTTTGTTCCTGCAAGGCAACCAGTAATCAAAGTAAAAACCACATCTCTTTTCTTTTTTTTCTTTCTCTTTTCTTTTCTTTTCTTTTCTTTTCTTTTCTTTTCTTTTCT